TTGCGTTTTTGGCCTGAGATATATCAATCTCTATCAGGTTATCCTCTTCGACGTGAAAGTCCAAATCCGGATCCAAACCCAAACCCATATCCTTCTTGGTATCACTGCGATCAAGAGCTATCTCTATCAATAGCCCTTCTCTATCCTCCTCTTCCCATTTAAAGCACCACCTCTCCGGCATGTCCCTCTCTCCGGCAACTGAAAACTCACCGTCAGAATCCGAATCAGAATCCGTTTCCGGGTAATACATAGCCAAAGACGGATATCTTTCCAGACCACCAAACCGAGTCGGATCCTGAACACCGTCCTTCTCATTCGGATTCTCCTCCTCTTCTCCTTCATACCCCTCGTATATAACCTCCAATGGAGCTCTGACATCCCATTCAACTAACGACCCTTTAAGTTCCAGGTTCGGATCCGGGTCAAAACGACCCTTTTCGGCACATTGGGTAGCCCCCCATTTGTCTGCAAGAGTCAAAGAGCAAGAATTTGAAGCTCTACCGAAATGGGTGTCTTTTTTTTGCTTGATTTCAATGGTTTCGTCGCCTTCAGTGACTGAATGTTGGAGTCTTTGAATTGCACCAAGGCGTAAAAGAAAGAGCAAGAGAGTTAAAGTAATGATCAGTATTGAAGAGACTGAGTGTTTATGTGCCTGAGGGAAGTACAAGAGAATTAGCGTGTAGAGAGTGATGATGCAGGAGAATAAAGGATTATGAGAAAGATTAATGGAAGTCATGATTTCAATGATGAGAAAAGAGATGGAATTAGAATTCAGTTCCCATGAAAGATTTTCCATTTTCTTCCATAAAAAAGGAAATAAAAGGAGAGAATTTGGTTTAGAGAAGTCTAGGAGTGGAGATTTTGGACTACCATTTGAGAGTCAATGGGTTTAAAAAGACATGCGAGAGAAGGAGAGAAACAGCAGTGGGGTTTAAAGGAGATTGCTCTGTGGGGTTTATATGCTTTTGTGTGTGTGTGTGTGTCCGCAAGAGCGAGAGCGAGAGAGAGGTAAAGTGTGCGTAAGAGAGAGGCATGGAATATATTAAAAGGGTTCCATGGTGTATTTGGTCACTCCACTATAAATTATGTTGATTTTGATCCCTTTAAATTTATTGTCCGAATCTCATCCTCTTATTATCTATGTTTATTTGATCCTTCTATCAATAATGAAGCTAAATTAGACTGTTAAAGATTTGTTTGGGAACACGATTTCTCAAATTAATTTTTTATATATTTTCAAATCATTTTAATATATGGTAATTTTAAAAATATTTTTTAAAAAATAAAAAAATATTATTTTAATATATTTTTAAATAAAAAATATTTTGAATCCTAACCACTACCACAATCCTAAATATAAAAAGAAGATTGCAGAATAAAGGAAAGATTCTATATAGATCTTGCCCAATTAATTAAAAATATTATGTGTGAGATACAAATAAATATATTTGCAAGATAAATATGGTTTTTTTAATTAAAATACACTTTTTCTTTTTCTATTTTAACAAATACATCCATGTTTTCCTGTAAACATGTCTTCTTCTTCTTCTTTTCCGTGTTCAAGTATAATTGGTGAAATTTTTTAAAAATATATTTTTATTTTATTTTAAAAAACACATCCATGTTCTTCTATAAACAAACATGTCTTTTTTTTTTCCACATTCGAGTATAACAAATAGAATTTTTATTTTTTAGAGGAGAAAGAATTAGCTTGGAAAGTAATTAGTTTTTGATATGCTAGCTAGTTTAAAATCTGCTTGGGAGTGAGATAGTTTTTGTATTAAATTAAATTTTTTAGTATTTGTTTGATAATTTTAATATCTTTATAATTAAACATTTTAAAAAAATCATAAAAATTGAATAATAACATTAAAAAAATATATATAAATGGACATTTTGGACAATGTGGATTGAAAAACTTTTTTAGCATTCTTTTGGTGGGCACAATTACCTTTGAGAGAATTATTTCTTCCTTTTTCTTGCATCTACTTTATGTCGAACAAAATCCTTACCTTTGGCCATTCTTTCTTTCTTTCATGGCCTTTGTAGGTACCATCTCCTTTTCTATGAGACGGCATTTGTCTTGAAATGTTGGCGCATTTTCTTTTCCTTCTCCCTCTCTATACAATTCATCGTGGACTTTTCAAGTTTGGACATCTTGCTAGCCCTCAATGAAATTATGGCTATGGTTTTCGATCGAATAGTCCAAGAGATCTTGTCAATTTCTTTGGGAGTGAAGCAATTCTTTAATTGTGGCCTTGCAAGTGGCTTCTAAATATATAGGAACGATATTGTGGACAAGAACCTCGGTTGATCAAGTTTTTGGTAACTCAATAATTTGCTTGCATCTCTTGGAATCAATACGGCTAATAAAGCTTAGAATTAAGTTAAATAATTAAGTAATAAACGTAGAAAATAATCTTCTTTTAGCTTAGACTTCAATGCAGAGCTCGAGAGGATGGCCTTATCTCTCGAAAAGAAAGGAAATATGTTCAATACCGTAGAAGCGTGCACTCTCTATTTCATATTTCATCCATTTGAATTGAATCATATATGATAATTAATAATGGAATTCAAAATGATGTATTTTATATGATTTAGAAGAATGGAAATAACATATAAGAATTAATGGAAATACATCCATTTTAATACATGATTGTCAATATTTCGTGCAACTCAATTTAAATGGATGGAGTATAAAGAGATCGGTATTCTTGAGATAATAGAAATATTTTCCTCAAAGGGTTGGGTGCACACTTTTTTCAGCCATCATGGTTCACGTCTCAAGCTGATTAATTGTGAAATTAAAAACCTCGTAGAATAATTTATATCCTTAATCAAATAATGTACTAAATCTCTATGTGTTTAAGTTGATTTAAAAATAATACAACTTAACCATCATAAATAACAATTATAAAAGATAACTTAATTGATCAGATGTTGAGCTTACTTTTTAATAACCATAAATTTGAATCCTCTTAAATTTACTAAAAATTTATATGATTTTTAACTTTAAAATTTAAAAAATAATTAAAATATACATAAATTAATTTAAATATTTATAATAATAATAATAACAACAACAACAATAATAACAACGACCAACAAGAAACAGCACCGGCACAGTTGAGTGCAGAGAGGGTAAGCGATGAGAGGTCCAAATGCACCCACCGAGTGAGTTAATGGCCAAGGGATAACAGGCATGGATGTGTCATAGCAACCCATTTTTGCTTAGCATGGACGTGGTGATCTCCATTAAAGCTAAGTTCTCCTCCATCAACTAAAGCATTTTATTGGTCATTGAAAACCTACCCCAAGAAAGAATTAAGGAAAAAATAAAATTAGGTTCTGCATGCCTCCATGGATTGTTCTATACTCAAAGGAATAGAATTCTCTCTCTTTTAAGTTTAGGGACTGCAGTAATTTTTGTTTTTTAATTTTTTTTAGAAATGTATTTATTTTGTAAAGAAATCAAATTCATATTTTTTAGTGATTTTTGATATATTAATATTAAGAAAACATAAATTTTTTTTAATTAATATATTTTTAAATGAAAAGTATTTTTGAAAAAAACCTAGCATTACAATGCTAAACACGTACTCTCTCTCCCTCCCTCTCCCTCTCCCTCTCTCTACCATTATATATAGATAGTTTCTGGTCTACCACTATAAAACCCTAACTTGGCTTCTAAGAAAATGCAAAGAAGTGAATGGACATTAAAGAAACATTGAATTTTATAGCGGGGTCCCTGTGGGCTTTTGCATGCCTACTTATTGGTCATGGTAGAGTTTTGATATTTCAAAAGAAAAGGCTGTTCTTTTAGGTGTTAGATCTCACTCCCACAAAAACTTTTTTCTTTGTTCTTAGAATTATTTCCTTGATCAAAATAATTTACAATTATTAGGGTTTCTTTTTAAAACATGAATCTACAAATATTTGCTAAGTGGTCGCAATGCTTTTGCCAATCATTATATATGAATCAAGCTTTTGGTGTCCTATGTAATACATATATAGTATTTTTACTATAGGAAGATAACATGTGGAGTTATGAAAAATAAATTAAGTTCGTGATCAATTGAATTTATTTTACATATTTATCCAAACAATTTTTTTTACTATTTCATAAAATGTGATCTTTGCCGAGTAAAGTGGAATTATTAGTTTATTACACTCAATTACCTCCGAAACCTGCTATTGTCAAAACAGGTTTTCATCCTCTTCGTATCATCACAGATATTGATTATTTTCCAAAAACACACGAAGCTGTATTTTGTATCACTATTTAATAAATTCTCTCCGCACATTATTTCTTATAATCTCCTCTTGATTATTAGAAAATCCAAAAAGAATGCGTTTGTTTACTATATGTCTAAAGCAATCTTGATAGTTTTTATTTTTAAATTGTTTTTTATTTTTGTTTAAAAAATGAAATTAATATTTTTTAGATTTTTTTTGATGAGGTTAAACTATTATTGTCATGCTATAGATTTTTTTTGATGAGGTTAAACTATTAGTGTCATGTGTATATGTCTGTTTAACATTATAGTAATTTTTACCTTTCAAATTATTTCTTGTTTGGAAAAAAATTCTTCATTGATGTTTTTTTAAATATAAAAAAATATTATTTTAATATATTTTTAATTAAAAAATAAAAATAAAAAGTCCTAGCAGACACTGTTTATAAGGTGAGGCAGACAATAAATCTAGGCGTCAATTCAATGTTGTAACGGAAAAACGCGGCTAGAAGGTAATAGCAAAGAGATGGACAGGTGGATCAGGGAGCGGGGTTTATGGTGGGGTTCAAAGCATGGATTGGCGACAAGGAATCTGCAGCTTTAGAGAGGCTTATCACATGGTCTGGAGCTCAGGTGTCAAACATATGGGACCTAAGCCTTTCCTTCCAGCACTTCCATTACTTCTCGCTCTCTCAAGTTTGATAATTTCTGTGTAGATTTAGCATACAATTCTTCAAAAACTTGGAAGCTAGCAGCCAAACTCATAAAAAACCTAAACTCCAACTACTTCCAGTCAAGTGACGGATTTTATATGGACGTTTCTCTGAACTTCGATCCCAACTATAGTCTCCTATAAAGTAAAAAAATCTTGAAATATGTGGTAGTACTTACAAAAATCTTGAAATTATCTTTGGAGTGGGGCCCTTTGAACTCTGTTCATTAAGTTCATGTTTGCAAAATATCTGCAGTTCAGCATGAACCAGAACTTGGCCTTCTCGATTTTCCGGTCTTTAGTTTGGAAGTAAGATCTCCGAGGTCTTGAGGAATGGATGGCAAGACTATCCGGAAATTAGCAGTTTCTCCGAGGAGGAGGGTTATATCCTCCAGAATGATGCTGCATGCCAGCAGGAAAATTGGAACACGGGGACCTTGATGATGGAGCAGTAGATGCAGTAGTGGAAAGCAAGGAGTTCCACAAGGCAAACCTGAAAAAAGAAAGATACCAGTTAAAAGACAATGTATGGTATTTTATACCAAAGGAAATTGAGAATGCAAGAAAAAGATCCCTGTAGCTGAAACTGCCAGTTGAGATTGAGGCTTTTGTTGAATAACAAATACCGATAGACAATATAGGATGCAAGGGGCACAACCTATAAATCATCATTAGATAATTATCATAAATCTCAAAGTTTAAGACTTGCGGTATTTCAAGGGGTAAACTGAGTTGAACTTTCTGGTCACACTGTTTATGCTTGGTCATACATGGTAAAAAGCATAAATTAGCATCCAAATATCCACAAACAGCTAATAAGGGATTGAAATGGCACGGTTGGGATGCAATTCACTAGGCAGTCCAGCTTCTTCAATTGTCCAAGCTATAAAGACTCTCCTGAACAGATATCTATGTGCACATACACATGCGAAATAATGTGTTATAATAGCTACCATATGAAGAAGGAGAATGACTGGGAATATGTATTGGAGCCTACAGGCTGGTGGGGAGACCTCCAATATTATCGCATGTAAAGGAAGACGTCCTTGCAGCTCCCCCTGTGAAGGTTTCTGCCATGCTGCTCCAGTAGGGGTTGGAAGTAGCGGCAGCACCAAGAAACAACACTATTCTCACCAACAGTGTTTGCTCTGCCATATGGATCAACAAATCCATAGTTTTGGCAAGAGTCAGCTCTACCACCAGAAATAGAACCAGAGCCCCAAGAGCAACCACTGTTATTTCTTGGTACAGAACTTGCTCAAGCTCCACGAGGAACAGGAGCTCTAGGTATGGAAGGACTTTTATAGCTTTGATATGCCACCAAAGAAGATCCAAACCCCTGATACTTTGTGTTCACCAAGGGTATTAACACGTTAGCCACTATTTGTCAATACATATCTCTGGTAAGTGTTCACTCAGTAAATGGACTAGAGAATATCTCATCTCTAAGTCAACAGCACTCGCGCTTCCTTACAGAAGCGAAGTAGAAAACAGATCCTGGAAAATTTAAAAAATAAAGAACATTAGAAACTGGGAAACTCTTACTTATTTGTGGAGGAGGTAGGTTGGTATTTTGGTAGCCATAATTCAGTGATTAAGGAGGTGGGTTGGTGTTTTGGTAGTAGCCATAACACAATGGTGGAGGAGGTGGATGAAAACTTTGCCAGGATCCACTACCAACTGAATCAAATGGAAAACTATCATGGACTTTATCTAATGACATAAGAATAAACAGATCGAAAAAGGCAATACAAAAACCTGGTAAAGCTCCTTGATTTTATAGTGGAGGCCCATCACATAACTTGAAGGAAGTCTTCCAGGAGCAAAACAGAGATTCAGTCTTTAAAGCACACTTCGCTTCCTCCAAATGCCTCTGTGACTCCCTTCAATCGATTTCAACAAAAATGACCTTATAAAATGATTTAAGCTATCAGCCAAACTATGCAAAAAAATTTGTATAATATGGATATGTTTGATTTATGCTTACCAAATGTTTACCTGATCAAAAAGTTCATGTGGAACAGGCATATCCTTATGGGGAGAACCAATTAGCTGCCAAGATTAAACAGGCCATGGTGAAAAATGATACCTATCATATTGTTTAAGGCATCAGCAGCAACTCCCTCCATTTCTTTAAATCTCTTATCTGCTTGGAATTTTAGATCTTCTGGTTTTGGAAATGCCACAACAGCAATATGCTTTACAGTAATAAATTAAATAAGAGATTCAAATCATACTTGATTATTTGCTTTATATACAAAGCGAATGACACATGACACTACCTTGCAGAAACTTGAAAATGGGCTCGATTTGTGAGTGCATGCATTTTTGAAAACATTGGTTTGATTGATAAATGATTTCAAGGAGTCTGCGATCGGATTGTTCACCATAGCTGTGCTTACAAAATAGCCCAGGAACCTATTTAAAAAAATAGTATCGTTCACCATGCCAAAGAATACCAGTGCAGAGAGAGGAAAATCTTCTCTGCAAGAAGGACAGAATGTTAAAGGAAAAAACTGGAACCTTCATTTCATCCAGAATAAGGTTTCTTCCAAGTAACACAAAACGCTTCTCTGGGTACTCTTCTGCCCATTTCTCTGCCCACGTAGTTTTACCAGAAGCAGGCAACCCCACCATCGTCATTACTTCACAATAACTAATGTCAGAAGAATTAGGTCCCATTATTGCATTCCCATCATCAAGAGCTGAAGCCCAGGGCTTCAGTCTTGTTCAAGAACAAGTCCGTCTTCAACGAAACTGAACCACGACATTCCTCAATAGAACATTAGGAAAAAGAGCTGACTCCCATTATAGCTCTTCTACTAGAGAATACACCACTTCAAGACCCCTTGGGCCAGCATCAATCCCTTTGCAAATCCCAACCATTTTCCATTCTCAGATAATCCTATAAAAGCCAATGATTTAGTTTCAAGCTCAACACAGCACTAGAGATTTTTCCTGTGCCTTCAAACCCAAAGCTAAGAAGCATCTCCCCTAGGTTTCCCCAGGCATCATTCCCCTAGAAATGCCTAAATGACAAACATACTGCTGGTCCGGAGGTGAGTATTCCATATTAACCCACTGAACCAAAACAATCTTTCAACCGAAACAATACTTCCGTCTTGTTATTCCAACATTGGCACGACCAACAGACCAACAATAAGCAAATGCCTACTCATTGAAGACCATCTAGTTCAATATCAAAATATAAAAAAAAGGCAAACTAAAAGGTTCAGCATAGCTTCCAGGTTTGCGCACACAGAATGGAATGGAGTGGCCATCTTCGTATCTACCACAATGTCCTTTTCTTTCACTGATAAAATAATCAATCAATATTGTTCCAATATTGCAGGTGGGATATAATAAAATTCTGTGGTAAGGAGATTTTTTTTTCTTTTGTTAATTCTTCCTCCAAAATCACATTATCTTTGAGGGTTTATAAACATTTTAATTTTTAGGGTTTAAGATACTTTAACTCAAAGTTTCAGTTGTTAAAGAAATAAAAATTCTCTCTTTAGCCTTCACCTTTATAAGTTTTTATGGGGTCTAGCAGTTCTGTTGTGAAAAACCTGCTGCATTAATTAATAATGAATATTATAATAGAAGAGAAATTAATAAAAACACAAGATTTAATATGGTTCGATAATGTCCGCATCTGCAGAAATGAGAAGCCTTTATTTTCACTATATCGAAATAGAATTACATTATGTGTTTTTATAATAAAACCTAAACCACCAAATAAACCGCTACCTCCCTAGCATGTATCAATTAGCCACAAGCTACATCAAGTTCTTTCATATAACAGTTATTGAGTGGCACCCACACTTCAATTAAACAATATAATCTAAATTAAATAAATTTTCTTTTATTATTTAATTCACAAATTACTCAATCAAAACCTCCAATTCTCAAATATAGCAAAAAAAATTAATTGTGAATTGAACCCTATTAATATTAATCCATCAAACTAAAAAACAGAGAAGAGTAATAAAAAAGGGTCCTGTTACCTAAATCACAACCAGCGGGATTGAGCATCGCGCGCAGCTGGTTCGACGTGGACCTTAGAGAATCGGGTCCAGAGACATCAAGCTCTGCCCTTTTGGATTCTGGTCGGGGTGAGAGCTCGCGTTTCGTGAAAGTCATTGCGAGATTGAATGGGGGAGTGAGCGGGGAAGAAGAGAAGTGTCAAAGGCGCGAAATGGAACGGCATAACGGTGCCGGTTCTGTTTATATATGCGGAATCCTGAGAGAGATGTGTGGGCTGTGTCTTAAAGCTCGAGTACGGCTATTATTGGGCTTGTGTGAGACTTTAGTGGGCTGTATGAGGGCTCAGCTTTATTGATGCCATTTGAATATTATGAAATACTTTTAGAAGCTTTGGATCAAGCAGGAAGTGATTTTGTTCTCTGCCTTGTCTTTTTGAGTTTGAATCCAAATAAAAGTAAGAAAGCAAATTGTTTTTTTTTTTCTTGAAATACATCAATTTATATTTATATATAGATGGATTGGAATATAATAAATGGCCAACACTTATAATATGATTTTATTTATTTATTTATTGCTATAAAAACATTTTTTTAGTGAATATATCAGTTAATTTCTCTCTCTCTCTCTCTCTCTCTCTCTTTTTAACAAAAATAAAAATGAGAAACAAATTCTTTTTTCCCTTCTATTTACTATAATGGTAAAGAATTAAATTATCATTAAATTTATTTCTTTTTTCACTTTTTTTTTCAAGCGTAGAGTAATCCCAAAGAGTTACTGTCTTTTTTTTATAATTATTATTAAGAAAATACAGCTTAGGAATATACTAACAATTAAAACTAAAAAAAAAGGGATTTTTTTTTCAACTTTTTAGTAATTAAATGCATGTAACCAAGGATTTATCACTCATGTGGACTTTATTATGGTTGTAGATTTCTTTTTCTTTTTTTTGGGTGAGATGTTCATTCTTGCAGAGTTTTAGTTAGATGGATGTTGCTTGTAATGTGTCCCCTAGCCTAAATTGTGTGAAACCCATTATAAAATTATTATGGACTCAACGTTTTATGAATACGACAAAGCTTATGAAATAGTTTCTCATAACTTCGGTCCCTCGAGATAGGACGTGGGAACCAAGATCTTAAATGTGTAATGAAAATTATAAAATAAAATTATTTAAAAGTTTTTAAAATTTTATCATCTTTTTTTTATAATTATTATTAAGAAAATACAGCTTAGGAATATACTAACAATTAAAACTAAAAAAAAAGGGATTTTTTTTTCAACTTTTTAGTAATTAAATGCATGTAACCAAGGATTTATCACTCATGTGGACTTTATTATGGTTGTAGATTTCTTTTTCTTTTTTTTGGGTGAGATGTTCATTCTTGCAGAGTTTTAGTTAGATGGATGTTGCTTGTAATGTGTCCCCTAGCCTAAATTGTGTGAAACCCATTATAAAATTATTATGGACTCAACGTTTTATGAATACGACAAAGCTTATGAAATAGTTTCTCATAACTTCGGTCCCTCGAGATAGGACGTGGGAACCAAGATCTTAAATGTGTAATGAAAATTATAAAATAAAATTATTTAAAAGTTTTTAAAATTTTATCATATAAATTTAAAATTATTTAAAAATTTATTATTTAAAAGTCTGACTTTTTAGCTTGGAATAATTATTTGAAGATTAAATTATTACAAATCATAAGTCATCCATGTATCTAGTCTTCAATAGTAATTTATAGGAATCACTCATCATAAATTTTATGAAATTCTATTTAGAAAAGAGAGATTATCATGCCAAGAATATTAGCTTTAATTTTTTGTTTTTGTAATTTTTTTGTCTGACAAACAACAATTAAAAAATAAAATACATAAATTACTATTTATAAGGATGTATAAAAAACCTTATAAATTAAAAAAATATCATTTTACCCCCCCGAGTAATACCCATATATTAATTCAGGATAATTTGAGAAATTAATTCAATCAAATCTTTGATTTTCTATTTCTGAAAATATAATCTTTGTATTAATTATATTTTAATTTTTAATCTTTAAAATATATTTTAATCAAGTCATACTTAATTAAAGTATCTTAGTTTAATTTCTAACTAATAGTTCCTAATACGTGTAGCCCATTAGGTTTTTAATATGTTGATTCAAATATAAATTATAATTTTAATTAAATATAATTACATAAATTAAATAATTTAATTTACTATAGATTAAATAATTAATTAATTTATATTTGATAATCAGGTGTATCGTCCAGCAACGTGTCTTGATTTTTTAAATATTAGAAAAGTCATTAGTGATTTGACAATCATTTTAGTGACCAATTTATCAATATAATTAATATCAATGTTTTACATTTTTCAAATTTTAATATAATGCAATTACATCTTTAATCTTGAAAAAAACAAAACATAACTTAGTACTTGAGGGTATTTATGTATTTAGCTTATAGTAGTTGGTTTGTCACTGATGATCTTTTAAGTTTTTTTTTTTATCTCTTTGATAACAGGTAATGTGCAATTTTGTCCTCTTTATTTCTTACTTTTCAATTTACATTCTATTAATTTTTATTTTTTTTTTATTTTTAGAAGTTTTTATTCTTTTCAATTTAGTCTTTTAATTGTAATTTTTCATGTGTTTGACTTTTTATTTCGGTTCTTATTTTTTAAAATTCTAATTTTATCCCTGGCATTTTTGTTGAAGTTTTTTCTTTTAATTTGATCTTTCAATCAAATTTTCTATTGTTTTATTTTTTCAGTTTGATACTCATTCTTTTAATTTTTTTTATTAAATTTATTTATCAATTCAATTAAATCCTTCAATTGAAAATTTATATCCTTTTAATTAATATTTTTTCTCGCTCTTATTTTTTCAATTTTTTTGTGTAATTAGTTCTTTTCCTTGGTTTCATGTCTCGACATATAACTTGTTGGGAATTTAGTTTCGTACAATTTTATTATTTCACATTAGTTTTTTATATATTGATTTTATGATTATTTTCAAGTTTTTTCTACGAGTTTATTTTGATCTCATGATTCAAGTCATGGTTTTTGCATGTTGTTTTGTTTAGTATAAAATTTTTTAACTGTTCTGTTTCTATTTTATTTTTCAAGGTATTATCCAAATAAGTTTTGTATACAAATAAAGTTAATTTTTTAAAATAAAAAATATTTATTTTTAAATTATATTACTTTTTTTTAAAAAATAATATTTATTTTTAAATTATATTACTTTTTAAAAAAAAAAATGAAATATCAATGTCTCTCGACCCCAAATCCCCATATCACACATTATCCAAAGCTAAAGGAAAATTCTAGAACCATCAGAACCGTATCCCCTCTTTCCTCTGTTACGACTCAGTCAACACTGTGTGTGCGTGAGAGGGATGAGGGTTGTAAATTCTACGGAAAGAGCATATGACAACCAAGAGTCAAGACCCAACCTTGACAAGTGTCATCACATTAGGAGGATAAGTGTTTTCTAATAAGTTAACTTTTAATCCTGACCTTCTGGTTTACTGAAAATAATTACCTACCCAGTACGTTGATATCATACATGGAAATAGCTTAATCATAGAGCTCAAAAGGATCCAAGTAGATTCCGTTTACTATTATCCTCTTTCACAGCTAAAATCTACTGCTCCCTTGATTCAAGCTGAGCACATCTTCGTATTGCCTTTTCCATGGCATCCATCGAAACATTAACCTTCCTTGCAAGTTAAGAACCTCCCCCACTCCAACAGCTGTCCCCGTCTAGATTTTCCCCCACGACAGAAAGGAAACTGTCCCCAAACTTCTGCCCAAATTTGCTGTCTCCTAAATGCCAGGGGCATCTTCTGGAACGTCAATCTCTCACCACTTGTCAGGGCTGAAATTATGCTAGATTTGCTTTTACTCGACAATTGACATAACTGTATTCGGCACATTCGCCAGTTATAATTCATGGATCTTGTGACCTCCTCAGTACACGTTTCTAAGCTATAAACAGAATCTATATTTTTTTCCTCTTAATCAAATGCAATACACAGAACCAGATCGTAAATAGTAAAAACAGTCTCAGCTTGCCACATCCCATAAGAATTAAGCAGTGCATAGATAGCAAATAAAATTAAAAGGTATGCAGAGAAGGCAATTACCAGCAGAAAAGAAATGGATTTGAGAACTGGAAGAATTAATGAGGAAACATTCCATATTTATTTTACTCAAACAAAACGAGTAAGTAAATGTACACAACAATTCTCATTCTTTATCCCAAATGAAAGGTCCAAGACCTCCTCTCAAATAAATATCCCATATTCCCTCCCTAACTTGCGCATGCTAGTAACTTGAAGAGATACAAAACAGGCCAAAAATCCTATCTTCAATGAAAGCTGTTGAAGAATCTACAATGGTCTGTGTCAAAGTGTAACTTGTGAAGATTATTGCCATGTACAGAACCCGAATTGAGATCTGATCAAATCCAAATACCCAAAACCCAAAACCCTCCTCCTTTCACCCTTTATCTACAACAATTTAATCTCCTCTTTTTAACTTGTATTTACAAAACCCCTGCCTCTCACATTTCTGTTTCCATGAATAGCCCCTTCTTTGGCGAAGCAAACAATGCCACTGATACATCAGCAATGCTCTTCCGATTTAACCGTGACTTGTAAGACCTTCGCTGCTTTGGCGCATTTGGAGCTTCAATTTCATCCAATTCACTTGGATTCTCAAGATCAAATGGAGATCGAAAACCTTGAGACTTCCTTGGGGTGCTATAGGCAAAATGACTTTCTTTTGCAATCAAAGTCTTTGAACACAAAAGAACAAAAAAATCTTAATCAATAACTAATTAAAAAACAACTAATTGCTAGTCTAGTTCAGCAAAATAAAAATAGATTTAATCACTTACAGCTTCTCTAATCACTTTCGACACATGAAAAAGCTGCTTCAAATCATCATGATCCACACGACACAAAACCCTGATCTGCAAAACCCAAGGATAGAAACTTTCAATAACTAAAACCCTTCAATCAAAAACCCAAAAGCAAAAATCACCAAGTCAAGAAATTTCAAACTAGGTATACATGTAAAACTTACCAAGATATCTTGAGGCAGGCTTTCAAGATTAGACTTTTCAGGCTCTAAACTGCGGAGCCTCTTCAAGGGAGACTTAAAAGTGGAATCAATATTCAACAGATCTTCACTGTTAACATTATTCTTAGTACTTAAAACCCTTTTCCTTCCAAATGAATATGACCTCACAAACTTGAACCCTAACCCCTCTTCTTCTCCGCTCACTAAAGCACCACCACTAACCCTATTTGCCTTCATTGAACTACACCGCTTCCCCAATGCCATATTTACAAAATCTCACTTCTTTAAATCACCAAATCTTTGTCACTAAATCTGCACCCCCAAGAAAAAAATGGTTAGATTAGGCTTAATAATAAAACCCTTTAACTACAAGGCGAACAATATCAAGAAAATATCGGGAAAATCTTCAAAAAGATAGAGAAACGAACCCTTTTTTTTTTTGCTAAGGTTGCAAATGAGATACAAAACCCTAAATTCTTTGAGAGTGATCGTTATAGAACGTTTATAAGCCTTTGAAGTTGAAATTAGTTTGGTCTGCTTTCAAGAATGGTAAAGTTTTGCTTATATAGCGTGAAAAAGATTTGCTTTTTATTTTCTTTTCTTTTTTTAAATCCGAGGTGTAACAGTAAAAACAATTCTTAAAATAAACGTGGTTAACGCTAGAAAAAACTGGAGGTTTCCAGTGCATAGTAGATTTTGGACAAATCATAAGATATTGCCCTCCATCTATAAGTAACATTGCCTTTTGGTCCCTCTTTGGTTTACCATTCATTTATCTCAACGGTTTTTATTCCCCATTAGAGAAGTATGATATTTACAAAAGATTTATCATGATTGTATTAGTAAAAAAAATCCAGTATTGTGGATGAGATTCCTTGATAAATATGTTAGGTAGGGTTTTCATATAAAAAATCAATACTTTATAATATTTTTTTTATACTATCTTTATTTAAATTTAAAATATTTAAGATCGTATATGGTGAACTATATTTTCTTTGTGATGCTAAATGTATTACAAACTTATTTGATTTAAAGATAAATATATTATCATAAAATATATGTTTATGTAATAATTTTAGAGTGAATTTTTATACTTTAAAAATAAAAAAAATATAAGAAAACATGTTCTAACAGTTTCACTATTTCTATCTCTTCTGTTCCTATATAGAACATTGCAACAATTAGGATAGTTGGGGGTTAATATTGGTGCAATTAGGAGAAAAGGATTAAATTGAAATTGTAGATATACTCAGAGGGCACGTTTATAGTTTCCCGAAGATAAATAAATATCTTCTCGCCGTGTGCGTGTTTCTTTAAAAAATTACTGTACTTATCCTTTTGGCGGTTAAAATGAAACTAGCCGTTGCAGAGGGACACGTGGCGAGATATGAGTCGATTAAGGAAGCTAGTTGTGTGTTGCTAACCGATGACGAGGCTATTTGGTCGGTCTAAGTCGGCTGCTTCGTCGGTCCCTTCTTCAACACGTTTTGTCCAGTTTTTTAACTTTTGGTGGGCTGGGTGTTTGTCTAAAACGACAGCTGGCTCGTCTGTAATATATAATATTTCGGGTTTCTATGTTACGTGGAGGAGTGTTATTGGTTAGTTGATGTGGTGATTTATGGGTGATGGATGAGTGGTTGAGATTTGGTGAGGAGGTACACACGAGAAGGGTGATGGATGAGTGGTTGAGATTTGGTGAGGAAGTACACACGAGAAGGGTGTTGAGTAGGGTTTCTATGTTACGTGGAGGAGTGTTATTGGTTAGTTGATGTGGTGATTTATGGTTGATGGATGAGTGGTTGAGATTTGGTGAGGAGGTACACACGAGAAGGGTGTTGAGCGGTGGCCAATGGTTTGTTTGACTGGAGTATCCTATGAGGGCGGCTGACTGATGATGGTCAGTTGCAGGTTTTACACGATAGCAATCTATTGCTAGTCAACGACACGTCAATCCTACGGCAACAAGGACAAAATTCAGTCGAAAGTTGTTGAAAGGACACAGAATAAAGACTATTAGCATGAGGTACACCCGAGCACACGGGTGGTCATAATATTATATAATAAGATTTGCTTGTTTGTTTCCGTGTTATATGATATTTTTTAAAAATAATTTTTATTTTAAAATATCAAAATAATTTTTAATATTAATATTAATATATTAAAATTATCATAAAACATTAATTTAATTTTTTTTAATACATGAAACACAATTCTAAACATAATATACAAGTACAAGATGTATTTAAATAATTAAGTTCCATTCTATATTTGGTAATGTAATAACTTTTATTTTTAGTTATTTTTTTAAAATTTAATTGTTTTGAAAAAATATTAAATTAATATATTTTTAATAATTTTTATATAATTTTAATATATTAATGTTAAAAATAAAAACAAATTTAATATGATTTTAAATAAAATATACTTTAAAAAATATGATGCACGGAGATCCTGAACACGCATGGAAAGTTAGATAAATGCACGGGGTGCAAGCAAGTTTGTTTAGCTAAGATCCAAGAGCTTAACCTAACCTCACCAACTACAAAGAACACTAACCACAAGTACACTTCAAAGCTGATAAAGATAACCACATGATGTCAGAAGGATGGACACACTCCCTCCCTCCCTTGGTAGTCCCTAGTACAAACCGGTGATATTTAAGATGTTGTTTATTTTTATATTTTAAAAATATTTTTTTTAAATTTAATATTTTTTATTTGTTTTAAATTATTTTTTTCAGTTTTTTTAAATTATTTTAATACTTTGATATTAAAAATAATTTTTTAAAAATAAAAAAATATTATTTTAAATAAAAAATACTTTAACAAATAATAATAACCACACTTTAAAACAGATATTAAATAAAAGATTATACCTCTTTTATCATCCAACTATACATATAAATACTTTGGGTGTTTACAAGTATTGTATGTGTATATATAAAGCTATTTATAATCACAAACTAGACTGATTTTAGGTTTTTGTTTCATGGTTAGAGATTTTAATAACGAGAGTAAATAAGTGTTTAAGATTACGATGAATTCTTTAAAAATACCTTTTATTTTAAAAAATATTAAATTAATATTTTTTAATATTATTTTTTAGAATTTTAATATACTAATATAAAAAATTTAAAATTTAAAAAGATTATTTTAATATATTTCAATCAAAAAAACACTTGTAAAAAGTCTACCTGTAGTGAATTGATCCATGTTTATATTATTACACTAATGTTTGGAAACAAAAGGACGGTGAAAAGAAAGTGAGGGGAAAGAAGACTAAAGGGACAAAAAAAAAAAAATCTCTCTTATTATTGCGTTTGGATGTGTGAAAATGGAGAGGAGCAATTTTTATTTTCATTTAAAAATAATAAGAAATGAGAAAGAAAAATCATGAAAAGTTCGAAGTTATTGTTATTCCCCTGATAATAACTCTTTTTGGATGTTATTTTTGGACTTGCATTGGTGTGATCGGTTTTTTTTTTTTTAAAAAAAATAAAATGAATTGAAATAGATTGATTTGAAATAGTTTTTGATATTGCTATATGTAAAATTATAAAAAAATATTTTGATTTGGTTATTTATTTTAGTGTTAGTTTGGCGGTGTAGTTGACTACATGTTCGTTAAAAATTTGAGTTTTTTGTATATAAAATTAATTTTATTTAATATTTTTGTATTATTTTGATGTGTTAATATTAAAAATAAATTTTAAAAAATAAAAATTATATTATTTTAATTTATTTTTTAGTAAAAATATTTTAAAAAATAAACAGTATCACAATATCAAATATTATTTTAATCTAAAACTAAACTAGAAAAAAAGTGAACACTCCTACCCACAAAACATGAACACTATCTAAATTTGGAATACAAGTTGTATGTAGTTTTGATTTAGAAAATCTAAGTCTAATATAAGATAAGATACTAGCTACCTGATAGAAAATATTGAAATCTCTAAAATAAAAATAATTGTTTAACTACAAATTTAACTTTGATATATATATATATATATATATATATATATATATATGTGAGATTCATGAACTGATTATATAGAATTCCTCATGAAAAAAGATAGTAATTTTCATTGATTTCTACAAAACATGCATAAACATTTCCATAGTTAAAAATTATCAAAAATATTGAGTAGAAAGAAAAATTATGATAACAATAAAAAATGTAAAAGAAAAACAAAAGAGTTCTTTACTACAAAGTAAAATAAAGCTAAAGCCGTCCAAACAAAGTCAATTGACATTGAGTCACTAGATTCCCAACAGTGATCACTTAACAACTATACACACACATATAAGTAATGATCACTTAATTGGCATGGTCTTTGACCGAACCTAAGAGTTGAATTTAATTTTTATTTTTGTACGAGTTGAGTTTTTTTTTCCATAACGTGTGTGATTTTTTTTAAAATTTGAATTATTATTTTATTATTTAATTGTTTTAACATGTTGATGTTAAAATTAAAAAAAATATTATTTTAATATATTTCTAATTAAAAATATTTTGAAAAACAACCTTTATAAAAAAATGCATTTAAATAGTGTTTGTTTATGTGATGTGAAAAATTCTGAAATTTTGTTTTGTTTCAAATAATTTTTTTAGCATTTTTAAATTATTTTGATGTATTGATTTAAAAAATAAGTTTTAAAAAATTTAAAAAAATTATTTTAATATATTTTCTAGTAAAAAATACTTTAAAACGTAACTGCTATCACAAAACTAAACACCACCTTAATCTTAGTTTGGAACTAAAGTGGTGTCCTAAGTTATGTCATGAACCAAAAAACATGAAACTCAATCAAATGATAGTAAAGAAATAAGAAACTTTGATTTAATTAGATTCAATAAATAAACTTAGATAATTTGATAATATAATTAAAAAATATATAATAATAATAGATAAATTAAATAAAATTTTTTATATATTAACAATAATTAATTATAAGATATAAGTTACTAATATCATACCTGTAAAGAAAATTATGTTAGACTACCATCGCTTTTATAGAAACCGCTTTACAATTAGAAAAAGTTCACCGATATAACTCTAAAACTATTATAAAAGGCTGTATATCAATACTGGAAGAGGCCTCATGCGCTGCCATAGCAATGATGCATAAAACAAATCAAATAAAATGTTAGTAAATGAACATTTCATGTTTTCACATGTAAAAAAAAGTTAATAATTTCCAGTAAATTCCACACAACATGCACATGCCTTTCAATAGATAAAAACCATTCAAAATATTGAATAGAATGAAAAATCATGGAGACAAAACAAAATGTAAAAGGAAAATAATAGGTGGAGAGCAAGAGAAGGACAAAAGTGAAGAAAAAAAAAAGAAAAATTAGTTAAATTAAGATAACAAGTATAAAGAAAAATTAGTTATTTAGTATATATAATTAAAACAAAAGATAAATATAATAATTTTTCTTGGCTACAAAATAACATAGCTAAAGCTAAGCAGACAAAATCAATAGACCCGACTCACCAAATTCACAATAATTATCATTTAATAGCTACACACACAAGTGTTGATC